ACGTAGTAAAAATAATGCACTATCCCTTCTTTGTCGGGAAACGTTTCTTATTTATACAGCTGTCAGCCCAAAAGAAATCGTGGAGACAAGAAGCAAAACTCGTCAACGTTTCGTCTCACGTTTCACATGACACAAAGCAGCTGATGGCACTCTCATCTTTTGACCACGGGGTTTCTGCGTTCAACTCAGTCTTGCGACTCACCCCTTGACCAAAGACTGCAAAACGTCATCCCACAACTCCTGCAAATTGAAGTCCACTCGGACAGCACTCCCAAGCGAGAGGACCTCTTCTCTCGACAACCTGTCACTTGGATTAGATTCACTTGGTACTCGCTCGTACCATACTGAAGACGACGCATTCTCCTGACAATCAAGGATCCAAGACACTGTCCTGTGACACACGGCGTTCTCCGACGCGCACTTAAGTAGAGACCCTTTGATGGACTCCGAGTCAGTGAACAACACAAATCGTCTGTTAGGACGACGGCAACCATTCTCTCAAGGCCAACAAGGCAGCAAAGCCTTCAAGCTCTTGAATGACCACTTTGGCTCCCTCGCTGCTCATGGAGGCAAGCCACTCATCCGGCACCCTGAAGCTGAAGAAATTCTGCGCATCCCCTGAGCTGTCATACAGCACACCACCAACACCACTATATCCGCCTGGGCAGAAGGATGCGTCTACGTAAATGTGCACAAAGTCGCTGTAACGGCTGTCGATGACCCTTGACAACCCAGAGACCAACCGCGAACGAATGCTCACGAGGGCTTGTCTTAGATCGTCACTGATCTGTGTCCAGCCCCTTGAGACATGCCTATTCAAGACTGAACGGAGGAGTCTGAATTTTCTCCCGAACAGCTGTCCACTCGCGAACTGCAGGCGCCCTCGGAGCCTTTCACCGTCGTGACGCTTCAGGCGTCCACAAGCCAAGATGCTATCGATCTCGTCTGTGAGCTCGGCACTTCGGTCTTTCGTGTTGGACACTAAAGCTTTTCCGAAGACACTTTGTCCAAGATCCAACTGCACTCCCAGTACCTTGCAACAAGTGTTGAAGGGTACAAGTTTCTCGACTGACGTCTCCCATCCCAGTAATTGAAACATCACAGAGATGCAAATGTCGGTATGTCTGGAGAGCGCAGGCGTGGTCAGGGACAAGAAGTCGTCGAAGTAAGCGCTCCAGACAAGTTTCAACAACTTCGCCCCTATCATCCAGACGGCGGATGAGCACCGCAAGAACGCGGTCACGGACGCGACGGATCCGAAGGGCAGAACACGCTGCTTGTAGATTTCAGCTAGCTGGGACTTCGGGTTGAAGACAACTATATACGAATCTAGCTCGAAGGCAACGTCAGAGAGAGGGACTTGTTTGTACGCGTCGCGGAGGTCCCACGTCTTTGCCACCGCTGCGCAGTCCTTATTGTGTTCCAGATGTGACCTGAACCAATGGGCAACCAGTCCGGCCACATGGTCGACAGTGTGCACTGACACTCCCTCTGGCTGTGTCACAGAAGAGTTTACAAGAGAAGCTCTATAGTCATCAATCGGGCGCACTTTGTTCTTTTGTTTCACTGGGAATCTTTTCGTCAAAGTGGCTCCAGATGGCACGCAGGTCAAGTCAACAGGTCCCTCTAGGAACCCTTTGGCTACCTCCTTTCTAGTGACTTCGTGAAGTGCAGCATCAAGATCTGGGTCTCCAGACGACTTGCAACTGAGGACCATGGCTTCTCGAGCTAGGTCGGCAGATTTTCTCAGAGTCTCGCAGGGCAACGAAGCTGGCCTGAATTTTTCTTCAAAGAAATTCGACCTAGGCAGCTTTCCTGTCAGGTCGAAACCATGGCGAATGCATTCTGCTAGCGTGGTGTCGGAGTGTCCTGCCTCACGGATCAACTGGTCAAAAAGATGCAGCCTCTTCTTCTCCAAAACTTGTCTTCTACGCGTTGACAAGGAGTCTTTATTCTTTGCTTCGGCTTGGCTGAAATCATTGGCTAAGCTCAACCATCTTTTCACAACTTCTGTGCGGTGCTTGGCCACTTCATAGTCAGTCCTCGAGGCACAAAAATTGTTGGCTTCAATCATCTCTACCGGAAAATTCGAAGCTAGCAAAGCTGGGTGGCCCACTCTAATCGCTTCTGCTACGAATTCCTCTGGCGCCCAATGAATACCAATCGTTATGTGCTCTTTGGTTTCTGTGACTTGTTCTGCCTCCCCTTTCCTGATTTCTTCACTCGCGAAATGCCCCGGTCTGGGAGTGGAAAGCTTCCTGGAAAGTGGAGGGAGCGGGGCGTCAGCAGGGTGACGCAGGATGGCTGCGAACTCAGGCACCAGAGGTGGCAGGGGCTTGCGGGATTGTGTGCCAGTGGCTGCTCTCAAAGTTTGCAAACTGGCTTCTTGCTGTGCGAAACACAAAGGCGGGAAAATCAAACCTTGTTGCTGCAGCCAGTCACTTAACGCAAAGGCCAGCGACCGACACAAGGCCCAAGGATAGGCGGTCTCGTGGGAAGTTGCCCATCCATTGGGGGCCATGGCGCATTGGCCCCACGGCTCATGGTCGTGATCACCTTGGCAAAATGCTTGTAAGGCGGAAAAAACTGGGGACCATGTGGACCAAGGAGGTGAGTTTGCGTCTTGCACTGCCATAACAACAGTGGTGAAACTGAGTTGTTGCGACGGGGATCTGCTGCAAGAATTCTTGAAAGCATGTCGTTTGCCACATGAACGAACGGCCCGGGTTTTCAATGGAGAAAAGAATGTGGTTGCGGTAGCAAAAGGTGGCAAGCTGACAGGTGACACGATACAAAAGATTGGCTTGGCGAACTCGGTCTGCGTCAATACCCGTGAGGGTAGGCAGGCCGTCGGGGTGCTGATCGGTGCGTAGCACCGGCGGGTTGAACCTGCCTTTCCGTTGGATCAAGCGGGCCCGCGAGGCGGTACCGCAGGGTGGCGCAAAATGGCAGAAGATGCAAAAAAGGATCGGACATCAAGGTTTCCAAATGCTTCACTTGGATTGGATCGGTCAAATCTAGTCTAATTAAGGGACTTGTCAAGCGGGCTGGAGTCTGGCAGTCAACTCCAAAGCTTTCATTCATCCCAAACTGGCGAAGAACTGCGGTGAGTCTCCCTGTGCCTGCGAAAACTTCGATGCAGAAAAATTGCTGCACATGTTTGCCGCGAAGCTTTGCAAGCACGCCGGTCAAAAAATCTCACTTGTGCTGCAAGAGACTATGCGCTTTGCCGCATCCGGGCTCAGCACAGACGTGCAGGCCTCGGGAGCAAGCGTTGCCAACTGCGGCATCTTTACAACCGGAAGACATGTTGAAGGGCCAACAAATTCTGTCTCCATCGCTGGTTTCCAAAGCCTTGCCGATGAGGTCTTTGGGAACGTTGGGCCCCCTTCCTTTGTCACGTTTTCCTTTCCCTTTTCCTTTGCCCTTGCCTTTCACCTTCAAAAACTTGTTGGGGCTCTCTTGCGTGGCAAGGCTGGTCTGGGAACGCTTCAGCCACTTGCTGTCCTTTGGAGGACGATCGGGCTGCTTGGCCAGTGGAAGCAAATGGAAGCTCACACTGGGATGCGACAGAACTGTGGGCAAGGCTTCTTCAAGCGGCTTAGTCCCGTCAGGCTTCGGCTTCAGGGTGGTCAGGCGCTCGGCCAACAGCAAAAACGCTGCGCGATCGGCCCTCAGCACCTGTTGTACTGTGACTTCGTTGTACCCCGGCGGGGCTGACTCTTGGAGGTGTTGGACCAGCTCGGACTGGTACTGGTTCATGACATTGTATTCACATGCGCCCACCAGGTCAAAGGCCAGAGCACGGCAGCGAAAAGCCTGGACAATCTCAAGCTCTGTCTTGGTTGGGCAGATCATGTCGGACTTTTTTCTTTCAAAGTCAGAGACCCGTTGTCCAACGACAGCTCTTTGGATGGTTTTTTCTGTTGAAGTTCGAAGCGACGGGTCTGAAACTTTTCTGGCCCGACATACAGGAGCGCATCCTTTTCAAGCATCTGCAACACAAGGTCATACGATGCGTGGGCGTTTTCTTCCGCCCCTTTGAAAAGGAGGCCGCCCAACCTTTTTCTCTGAGCTGTAATTCGGGTGTCGCGCTCGGCAACTGCCATGGTCGTCGGGAGTATTTCTTCTTTCTTCTGGATCTTGTTCTTGAGCTCCCCAACGACCATGGTTTGCGCTTCAAAAATGAGTCGTTTGGTTGAAGCGATGGTTCCGATGTTTGGAGTCACGCTGTCCCCAAAGAGGCCACGAATCTGGTCATCAGTCGCTGTGGTTCCTGGCGGGCCCAAGACAAAGGCCAACCGCGCTAGACTGGTGAGGTTGTTGTCGATGAGAGCCTGAATTTCAGCCTCAGTCAAATGTACCTCCAAACATCGTGTCTTCAAGGCTTCGGTTGATTCGAGGAAGGTGGACATGGCTGGCACCTTGGGAGCTTTGCCAAACTTCTCGAGCTGCTAGCAAAACATGTATACAACTAAGTCAAACAGAATCAACGCCAAGCGCAGGAATAGTCTCTGAAAAACCGAAATCTTTCAGTGGCTCTTCCTGTTCGTGCAGTTCCGCGAGTGTCACACAGATCAAAGAGACTTGGCGCCGACATTTGTCAAGCCTGAGTGCGCTGCCGCTTCAGCACTGCCGCCAAAGCGCCATAATCTCTGATTGGTCGAACTGTTTCGCAGCGAAGACATTTCCGACTCTGCAAAAACAAACTCTCACTGATCTCACGAAAATCGGATGTGTGGACTATACCGCAATGAAAGCGGTTGCGAATTGTGCCTAAAGCTTTCTTGTGCACGACTTTAGTCCTATGGTGTTGAAAAAGTTGGACATCAGGCTCACTGTTGATAGCTCCGTGCTCAGGCTGGAAATCGGCCAGCTCTTGGTCAGACATGGAGGCATCGGAACTCGATTCGCTAGATTCGCTAGATTGGTCATCCAGCAACCTGGCTGGGCTAAAGTCTGTGGGTTCAACCCTGTGATCCTCCTCCTCCACCGCGATTGGAGCCTCAGGCTTTGTCGCGATGCTCTCAGAGGCGTCGTTGTTGATCTTGCCTTCGTTCTCCTGCTCTGCCACCATACCGGATCTGGTGTTGTCTGGGCAAAAAGTTCCCTGCCGAACATGTTGAAGCATGTTTTCGTACTCCCTCAACGGGGAAGCCAAGAGCTCCCTGGCATAAATGTCAGCAGATCTGGAGTTCGTGCTGTGGTGGCCGAGTATCAGGCGACTGTGTGGCTCGATGCCAAACTTTGCACACCAGCTGAGTGTTGTGGCCTTCAAAGAATGCGACGTTGGCCGTCGCGTCTCCTTCGGGTCCTCGTCAAGCAACACCTGAATCCACTTTGAACACTCTGAGCTTCTGACTGCTCTCTGTGTCCAGGCGCCACTCTTGTCGGGCGCGGGCATCAAGGGCCCTTCAGGCCGATCGACGAAAGCTAATCCGGTTTCCTTGGCCACGTCCAGAAATTTCACGCCCCAAGGAGGGGTTTCAAGTCCCAGGACTGGTGCCACTAGTGGCATAACTAGCCCTTTCTTTCGTACCAGATGAGCCGTCTTGTGAGACCGAGTTCGGCACTCCAAGAAGCCATGACTGGTTGCCCGCGCAACCTGCGGGATATCGCATACTGCGTTGTACACTTTGCGAACATCGCTCCACCTGGACCTAGAGTAGATGCAAAACAGAACAACACCGACAAAGTATCGTTCAGTCAGCGAGACGCCCTCATCGCTCAGCATCTGTTCCAAGCGCTTGATCTCTGTGACTGTCAACGGGCGTGCCTGCCTTAACTCCTTTCTCTGGCCCAGGGAGCTTTCCAGCAACCTTCTGCCTTTCAAAGTCACTATTCCTTCCTCGGTTTCAGAAACAAGCCTCATGTGAAGGTGATGCTTGCAAAAGTTCACTGCTTCCTCAAAACTTGTGTAGGCAGAAGGAGCTGCCTCACACGTTGTCAAGAAAGAAAAGTAGTTCTCAATGTCCAGAGGGGATGCAGGAAAAATATCTGATTGTTTCTTCTCTTTGCGCGCCCAACTGCTGAATCCAAGCAACGACGCGACTCTTTTCTCAAGCGTGGCAACGCTCTTCGATCCTAAGAAAAGTTTGAGTGTAGCAACGCCCTCCTTGGTGTCCTCGGCTAAGTTGGCGAAACTTTCTGGCAGACAGGACGAACTGATCGACACCAGAATGGTCCACTTCTCATAGAGACGGTTCAATCGCCTTTCTTCTGCCAAAGCTTCCTCCTCGACTTCGTGAAACTTGATCACCCTCAAAAAGGAACCTTTCTTTGGCTGACCTATGGTTTGTTGCAGGTCACGCTGACGGAACCTGGTCTCCAAGTCCTCTGCAGAAGCCGATATCAAAGGTTTGGGAACGGTGTCCTGCGAATTGGGGCCCCCAAAAATCTCTGCAAATATTCCTGCCTCCCAAGGCAGCTTCAGCTCACTCCCTGGCTCTGAGTGGAACTGACTGTCAAACACGGTTTGATTGAGTTTCTCTTTCATTGGTCCTTCTAGCTCCTGAATTTGCGTCACGTCTAGCCCTGTGCACTCCTCATCAGACACGGCAGTTTCACACTGCCCTGCGACATCGTCCTGTCCTCCTTCGAGTTCGTTGGGAGCATTCAAAAACATATTCCATTCGGCTTCATTCTCTGGAAAATTCAAACTCGCGGCTCTGTCATCGCCCGCCCCACACTGATCCACGTCAATGTGGCGAGGCAAAGGTCTTTTCAGGTCTTCGGAACAAATCGAATCTGAGTCAATGTCCATGCCCGCGCGCTAATTGGAGCCAGCTCACAATGAGTGAGTCAAAAGAAGAAAAACAAGTAGCATCTTGCCTCTGTGCTTCGTGACTTCACAGCGTCACATTGAAAGTTTAGCCTCTTTTGTCTCGGCTTGATGCTCGTTCTCGATGAACTTAGACTGTTTTACTAATGAGGGGAGACTAACTGGGACTAATGCAAAGCATCTATATAATTATCATAGTCGAACTTAAAGTTTGCAGTGTCTCACCGTCCAATGCCGTGTACAGTCTGCGCCAAACTGGCCACAGGTCTGGCTGGTTCCGGCTCTTCTCAGTCACGTCGTGGGATCCTGACAAGTCGCGAATGTTGTCACAAATGTTCCCAAACATCGAAGGTGGTGTTCACAAAAGTAGTAGTAAGGCTCTTAAACCAAGACATCGACTCGACACCTGTCCCACACGGTAAGGTCGACTATATGCAAGTGTACACGTCAATGCTCGATCTCAGCCGGGCGAAAAGAAGAACACAAACCAATAAAATTTGTTTTCCTTGCTTGCTTCTTCCTCTTTGAACCTAACTCACACTCGTGAGAGGTAAACACAGGTTCCGACTTGCTTCCGCTTCTCACCTCATGTTCAAAGGCCACTTCACCACCCAGTCACACGACTGCACTTAACTCAAACATTTGAGTTCCAAGCTCACGTGAGCTCAACTTTGGGCTCACTCGAGCCTACCTGTAAAAACACGCGCTTACAACCCAGAAAAAAAAAACAATAGAAGGGGACGAACGCAATTTCAGCGCACTCGCGCTTGCAGACTCTTGGGCCCTGACTCAAACAATCCCTCAAGAGCGTCCCTGTCTTCAGGGACACTTGTCCCAGAGACTCGGCCGCTTGAACCGCCAAGTAACGGAACTCAAGCCTGCACTACGTGTATGGCCCTTAGGACACTTGCCCAGTAGTATGTGTACTTTGCCAAATTGACATCAAACACTGCTCAATATGACGTTTCTCAAATACACATCACTGAACGAGAGAAAAAAAATAAACTAAAACAAAAAACACATAAATCCACTCCGTCAAACTCTTCCACAGCAGATTCAACAAATTGACTGCAATTTCGGACATCTGAAGCTACACTGCGGAAATCTTATATGCACAAGTGCCCAAAGAAAGTAGCTGAAAAATGTAAAGTGTTTCTAGGGTTGCACTGCGAAAATCCCCAGAGAACAAAGTGCACCAAATCTTTAGGCGGGAGCAGGGCTGGCTTCAGCCTGTACCGGGATCAAACTGCAAGCGCAAAGAATGCGAATATGGCTGCGGGACCGACTACGAGTATGAGAGGCTGCAGGAACGACATGGGTGATTTCTGCGAAGGCAGTGGGCCAATACGTTGGAGGGCGATGCGAACTACGGCTACTCAAGTTGGAGGCCAGGGCCCCTTGACACAAAGGGTGGCACATGGCACGCGGCAGCGTATGCGGTTGTCGCAAGCAGGAAATCAGCATAGCCTCTGACTCAAACATGGCGCAAGCAGAGTAGGGAGCGCCCGTCGTTGGTTCACGATTTTACGCGAACGGATGGTCCCTTGACAACTTGGTCCCAAAAT